CCCCTCACCCGTCCCACCCCCAACCCCCACGTTTTCTCACACTCTTGTTTTCACCCCCTGCCCCTGAACCCAAGGGACGTGGTGCTGTACGGATACCTGCGGGGCGCCCCCATGCGCCATGAGCAGCGCATGCACATCGCAGGCGTAGGGGACTTCAGCCTCGAGGTGGGGGGGGGGGCCTTTCGGCATGCGCCAGCAGGCGGCGGGCCAGACGGGCGCGTGGGCTCGCATGCATGTGTAGGGCCGGGCCGGGGTTTGCGGCGGAGCGTGAGCTTGATCAACAGCTTTACATGTGCGAATGACCCCCTCACAAGATGCAGAGTTTTTGATTCCACTTCATTGCAAGTGATTGGATTTCTGCTGTTGCAGCAGACGGCGCCCCACCTCCAAAAATCCCCTCCCCCCCCCACAAAAAAAAAACGCCCCCAGGAGCTGGACCCGCTGCCAGACCCCTGCCCGCTCCCCGAGTCCGCCGCCGGCGCCGCCGCGGCCGGGCGGCGCCGCACGCTGAAGGAGCGTGACCGGCTGCTGTATGCGCCCATGAGCGACGCGGGCGGCCTGCTGTATGACAAGGACGCCGTCTACATTGACATCCCGGACTGGAAGGTAGGGTGTATCTTGTGTTTTTGGGGGTGTTCTTTTGGGGGGAGAGAGGATAATGGGGTTCGTTGTGGCAGGCTGGTGCTTGGGGGGTGGGGAAGAGGGTTGAGGGATCAGCTGCTGTCGAGGGTGCCCGGAGAGCCTGGACTTGCGGCTGCCCTGGGGAGCGGCGGCCCCAGTGGGAAGGGGGGTTCGCAATGGTGACGCTGGGTCCGTTGTTGGGTGTGTTGGAGTGTCGACGCAACTAAGGACGTGTGTCGCTTGGGCACTGGGGTCTCAGGTGACTGCGCAGCGTGCACACGTGTAGGATTGCGGGTCGAGGTATCGCGCCCGGGCAAAGCAGTGTGGTGTTCGACCCCCTCCCTCCTGACGCCGTACCTCCACCCTCAAAACCCAATCCGCCCCCCATCGGCCCGACAGGTGCAGTACACCACCACCTGCGGCGCCACGACCGGCACGCAGGTCGCGGGCGCGCCGAGCGGTACGCTCGAGGCGGCGGAGGGCGAGCAGATGGTGCGACAGCTGGCGGGCGCCCGCGAGGCGATCGACGAGAAGCTGGCGGGAAGCCGCATCCGCGTGTTTGGGGGCGGCGCAGAGCTCGGGGGGTCGGACGAGGAAGATGAGGAAGATGAGGGGTCAGAGGGAGATGAGGAAGATGAGGGGTCAGATGAGGAGGGGGAGGAGGGGGACAGCAGTGAGGAGGAGGAGGAGGAGGAGGAGGGGGCGGGCGGCGGCGCGCCCGCACGGCGCAAGGGGCTGCCGGGGTCGGAGCCCGTGATGCACGGCGGCCGCCTGCGGCGCCGCGCGCTGTTCGGCGGCGGCGCCGGCGGCGAGGAGGAGGAGGAAGGCGGGCAGGCGGCAGCGGACGAGATGCGGGCGCTGCTCGGCGGCTTTGGCGGCGGCGGCAGCGATGACGAGGGCGGGTCCGAAGATGATGATGACGAGTCCGAGGGTGATGATGAGGAGGAGGATGAGGATGATGAGGAGGAGGGCATCGGCGGCGCCGCGCGCTGGAAGGCCGGTCTGGCCGCGCGCGCGTCCGCGGTATTCGCCCCCCGCGGCCGCGACCTGCGGGACATGATCTACGGCCAGAGGGCCACCGCGGACGCGGCGGGCGGCGGCGGGGACAGCGGCGGCGGCCGGAAGCGGGGCCGCGGCGCATTCGAGGCGGGCGGGGGCGACGGAGGGGAAGAGGACGAGGGGGACGATGATGACAGCGATGGGGAGGACCTGTTTAGACTGCGGCGCAGCAGCACTGAGCAGCACGCTGGGCCAGCGGCCGGCGGCGGCGCCAGGGCCGGCGGCGGCGGCGGCGGCGGCGACCCCGTCGATGGGCCGGACACCAGCCGCCCGGCGGCTGCCGGGCAGCTGCTCGCGAGGCAGCTGGAGGAGCGGTGGGCGGAGGCGGAGGCGGTCGAGGCCCTCAGAAACAGGTGAGGGCTGCGTCAGGTTATTGCTTGAGGAAAAGTCCCATCGGCCTTTGTCCTTCCTGGCCTCGTGGGATGGTCATGCAAAGCGCTAGGAAGCGCCTGACTGTAGAAAAACAAGCAAGGTCTTTTGAGCTCACGCTAAGGGCGGCGCTTTGCAGCTCAGCGCGCAGCCTGCTGTCACTGCTGATGCCGCGCCCCTCTCGCCATCAATGTCAACCTGAACCGTCTTCGCCCGCCCCCAATCCCCAGGTTTGTCACCGGTGACTGGGAGGCGGCCGCTGCCCGCGCGGCTGCGCGGCCCGAGGGCGACTCGGGGTCCGAGGATGGCGGCGGCGGCGACGACGACGACGAGGTTTTCGGAGATTTCGAGGATGTAGAGGCCGGCGTCAAGTTCAGTGGCGGCAAGGGCGGTGCCGGCGCCGGGGCCGTGGACGCAGTGACGGCGGTGGCGCAGCAGGCGATTGCCGAGGCCACGGTGGGCGCGGTTCAGGGGGGTTGTTGCAAGCGCACGCGGGGTGCCAGGGCGCGAGTGGAGGGCGCTCAGGCAGAGGGCTGCCGCACGGCGCATACAGCAGCACGCCATACCGTCTGTACGCCAGTCAGGGGCCTCAGGTCCGAGCCCCCTCCCAGACCTGACCAGCAGCACACGAGGCGGCCACAACCTGTTGCCCTCCAGTCCTTCTGCAAGCCTCACAATTCGACCATCGCAGCAGAGGCCTCAGAGCTCACTCCACCCTCTGCCCCTCACAGGCCGAGGAGCTGCGTCAGAAGAAGCTGGCCCAGAGGGCGGCCTTCGAGGCCACCTATGCGTCAGGCGGCGCCAAGGCGGTCGCGCGCGCCGCGACGGGCAAGGGCGGCGCCGGCGGCGGCGACGAGGAGGAGGAGGACGGGGAGGAGGGCGGCGGGCAGGGGCGCAGGCGCAAGGGTGGGTTTGGCGGGGCGCGGGGCCGGCGAGGCGGCAGGGCCCCCGCCTCTGGAGTCACAGACGTACGTGCACACTGCTGCAGCTCGAGCAAACTTCTCGCCGCCTGTTTCACCAGCCCTATCACCGCCCGAGATGCGACCCTGCCAGGTCAGCAGCCCGCGGTCCCTCTCTCACGCACACGCACGCACTCCCTCCTGCCGAATCTGGGCACCCCCTTCCAGGTGCATCTGCGCCACCTGGCATGCGCAAGGCGGACGAGGGTGAGTCATTTTTCGACGCCCAGAAGCGGGAAATCCAGGAGCGCGCGCAGGCCACGCGCGACGCGCTCGCGTCGCTCGACCCGCGGACGCGCGCGGCTATGGCGGGGCACGAGGCGGGGACGTACGTCAGGATGAGGTTCAAGGGTGAGCGCTTTCTGGAGAGAGCAGGGCGGTTTCGATTTCGCAGGGGTTGCAACCGGCAATCGGGGACGCAGGGGCTGATTCTCCGAGGGGTGCCGGGGCTTTGCGTGTGTGTTGGCGAGAGTGTTCATCCCGTAGCGGCCGGCTGCATTGGCAGGGGGCGCGGCGTGCCGCCTCTCCCCCTGCTCCCGCACCCTGCCGGCACCCCGGGTCGACCGCCAGGCGACCGCCAGGCGCCGACCAGGCGCGTGCCCCGTGGCACCCGCCGACCTGACTGCCTGGTCGTCACCTTCAACCCGCCGCCCTCTGATGAGCCGCAGGCGTGCCGTGCGAGCTGGTGACGCACTGGGAGCCGCGGCGCCCGCTGCTGCTGGGGGGTCTGGGGCAGGGTGAGGACAAGGCGGGCGTCATGAGGGTTCGCTTCAAGAGGCACAGGTGCGGTGTGTGTGTGTGTGTGTGTGTGTGTGTGTGTGTGTGTGTGTGTGTGTGTGTGTGGGCGTGCGTGCGTCTGGTGTGCCCAGACAAGGTTGCAGCGCAGATGGATTTGGCAAGACAAGGGCCAGCGTGCTACCAGTCACAGCCGCCCCCCCTCAACGCGCCAACCCATTTGGCTGAATCACATTTTCGCAGCCGCTGGATCGGGCCCGTGCGTGCTGGCTCGCGGCGA